TTCTAATCAAACTAAACTCATGGTTGAAAATGTCATGGTTGAAAACTATGAGTGATAGGAAAAATCAAACTGATTAAGCTGGTTATATGGAAGATACATACTCTAGCAGGGCTGGTTATTTACCCATTTACTCAAGCTTTTAACTAAGTTAGTTGGTATACCAAGTCAACAATACATACTTTTTCACTTGGAACAAAGAATATATAAAAGAGGTAGCAGTCATATAATTAATAATTCAAACTTTTGTCATCCAGATCGTCACTATTTTATTGGTAAAAACTAAAAAACCTATCCCTTTAATTTGAAACACGTGCATAATTCTGGAGTTCTAGTTTAGGTATCGGTTGGTGCAAGGTACTAATATTAATAAGTAATACTTCATGCATGTTGGAGAATGAATTACCGTTGTGTTGGCACGTGAAAATCCATTGTTCTATATACTAAAGTTGAGTTAAAAACTAATGATGTATCAACTTTTTATTGGACAATGCAAATTCTATTATCACTAGAACTAAAACAACTAATTTAGTCGCTGAAATCTCACGACTGATTTGGATCAAAACAACTAATTAACTCCCTCAAATCTCATAGCTAATTTGGAGTAACAAAGGGAGAAAAATCTCCTTTTTCAAAGTGATATAACTTTTATATTTATAATCCAATTTTTACCAAAAATATATCAAAATTCATAACTTCTTATGATCTTTCATATGACACCAATATCATATATATATATATAGGGTCAAGATCACATGCAAACCAGTCCTCCCATGCAAACTACAAACTAATCTTGTGCATCCGTTTTTGCTAAATAAAGGGCATCCGTGTGGGATGCATGATAAGGGACTGTGGAAGACACACATGGAATTATAACAAAATTAGCAACTCTAAATGGAACGGCTAGTAAAGAGGATACAATGGTAATTTATAAATTAAAAGTGGCCGGTAGTTATAGTTATTTTAGGCAATTGTTTAATGACTAAATCTATGGATTAATGCTAACCATAAACGAAAAAGAAACTTACCATTTTGTAATTAATTTTTAATGAAAGCGTTTACTAAAATAATATTTGTATTGTAAACGCTACCATTTATCGAAACTTAAATATGGTAAGTGTTGGAGAGCTCTCGAATGAAGAAGTGAGCATTGGTAGAAGTGTTTGCATATTAACGTTACCGGATGTGCATATTAGTTTTACATGAGGTGCATATTAAGGTTACGCGATGTGCATTATATATTTATAAGGGAAATTATCATTGACCTCGCTTGAGGTTTGATGCATTATCAATCACACCCCTATACTATCAAAAATATACTTTTACCCCCCTCCCTATCCTTTAATGATGATTAAATAACTTCTAATCTATATTTAGAGAAAACTATAGATATAATTTCATTATTTTTCGTTAGGTCCGCTTTTAATACTATAATTTTATTCAATCACAAATTTGATCCGGTAATTAATAAATTTGTCCATATTAATAACATTTTTATTGGAAGTCGAACAAATCTTACCCCACTCTAGGTAGTTCGTTTTATACCTTTGAATATGTAAAGTAACTAAATATACTCAACTGGCATGGAAATGATCAAAATAAGCTAAATTTGTTAAGAACTGAAACAAATCAACTTAATTGAACCAAACCGACTCAAAAGTGATGTTGACTACTCGGTTTTACCATTAAAGATTGAATGCAAGAAAATTCCCATTTTGCACTCTAGAAACTTTTTTATCACTGAAAATGAGAGCATTATAGGTATAATATAACTTGTAATTTATTTAACATTTGACAAAATATGAACATGTTTACATGTAAAATACTGGTAAAGACATTATAATTTATCATGAGTTTCACACCCAAACTGGTTAGTGCTAAATAATTAGTGTGACCCATGACATTATCTTCGGTTCTAATCTCCTAATTTGTCTAGGTTCGCTACCGATAATTTAAATATTTAACTACCTATTTTTTAACTTTTAAACGGACTATAACCAATTTTAAAATGTTTTCAATGGCTTTAATGAAAAAATGAACGTGGTCAAAACATGGGCTCCAATCCTGGTCCAAAAAGTGAGGCCTGAGGCCTCTTGTTCACCGGTCTGGTCTCGATCCCAACCTAAAATCTTAATTAAAAAATCGGTCATTCTCGAGACCGGGCCTTGTCCTCCCCTAATATGAACCACAAAAGTAAGTACTTCTCATTCAAATTTACAATAGGTAACAATAGTCTCCTAAAAGTCCTTCAACAACATCTGTTTTACGTATAAAATAACATTATATTCCTCGTTATTTGACATCTTTCTTGCATCAGAAAAGTTTCACCAAGATTTCTAGAACCTCAAATATATTTTTGAACTTTTAAAAGTAACAGAGATTTATGGTTTTAAGCTCGTACCTTTCGATTGTGTCTGCTAAGTGTATAATTTTACTCACATGTAGATGTAGTTATGTACCTTGTCAATCATAAGGGCTATTTCATTAGAAAGTACGCGTTCTTGCAAAAAAGTACTTTCTGGTGGAAAGATTTTGAATACAAGTTGTTGAGGTTTATTCCTTCAACTCTCGGGTTCAACACGTAGGCCCAAGAGTTTCGAGTGGAGTGTGTATGAATAATCTAGCCCAACCAACAAGTTAAATGGATTCAGAAACAGTAAGTAGCAAGTAAGTGATGAGGTATTATTAATCTGTTAATAACTCCCCAGTACAATACTTTTTGCTAAAGGCTCGTCGGCCGTTCGTCTTACAAGACAGTAGAAGAGCTGTGAGTAAGAAGGCTATAAGCTAGAGTGCTAAGAATAGAAAGTTGCTAACCCTTTACAATGAAATAAATGCTGTTATTTATACTACCAATGAGCAGTTGGCTATACTGACGTGGAGGATTGTGAATGGCTGGTGCTCCAACCACCAAATCTTTAGCATTAAATGCGATTCCCGCCAGGATCTGAGTTTCCCGCCTAATTAGTGGAGACGTTCATCCAGCTGGGGGAAGTGAGCTTCTCCTGGTGAGATCGCAAAGGGCATTGGGCCGTTCATATCTTGGCCCTTGGATGATTTGCCATGTAGATTGGGTTGCCTCCATTGGTTATGGGCTTGATCCGGCGACGTTCGTCGCCATCCTTATGGCCTGTGGGCCTGATTCACTGCCAACTATGCGGGTGTTCGTCGGGATGGGCTGACAAGCCAAGGCTTTGGTTACGACGTTCATCTTCGCCAATTCCTTGTTAACTTAGCCTACCCAGAAACCTGTATGGACGTTCATCCGAATAAGGGAGTAAATGGGCCAACCCTTGTTTGGGCCATTAACCCAACACAAGTAATTTTATTAATTATCAGGTTAAATATGCAAGTGAGTAAATTTATAAAACTGAATTTATACTATTTCTAAACGTAATTAAGAGTTATTAAACTTTCATTAAAGGATAAGGAGGGGGTAAGTGTATATTTTTAATAGTGTAGGGGTCTAGGTGATAATACGTGAAACCTCAAGGGTGGTAAATGATAATTTCCCTATTTATAATGTCTCTATAAATTATATTTGAATTACATCATGATAAAATATGTCAACATTGCATTTTAGCCGTTCGTATGTTGCATGTTATCTTTATAATAACATGTGCATTTTACAAGTTCGTATATAGTGCTGGACTCGGGCCGGGCGGCCCGGCCCGGTTACTGTTTGGCCCGGCCCGGCCCGGGGCCCGGTGGGTCCGCCGGTTCGGTTCGGCCCGGCCCGGCTGCTGGGCGGTTCGGGCCCGGGCCCAGGTTTTGGTGAACCGGCCCGGCCGGTTCGGGTCCGGTCCGGGCCGGATTTTAATTTTTTTTTTTTTTGAAATTTTTTTAAGTTTTAGGTTGGATTAGGTATTTTGGGCCATTTGAGGTGGTTTGGGATGGTTTGGGGTTGAGGGGGAGGGGGAGGGGTAGGGGATTAAATAGGAGAACAAAAAAAAAAATTAATTGGGCCGGTTCGGCCCGGCCCGGCCCGGCCCGGTTTGGCCCGGAACCGGCCACCGGCGGTTCGGGCTCGGGCCTCCCTTTCCTGGCCCGAGGCCCGGCCGGGCCCAGGCCCGAACCGGGCCCGAACCGGCCCGAGTCCAGCACTATTCGTATATTGCGCTTTAAAATATGTATACTTTAGAAGTTCATACTGCATCTTACTGCTATGGCATATGCATTTTAGTAGTTCATAAGTTGCATTTTATCATTATGATATGTGCCTTTTAGAAGTTCATACACTACATTTTAGTAAGACTAGTAATTCCACCCGTGCTACGCACGGGAGTGAAGATGTTTGGATAAATCATACATAAACTCAAAGAATTTCATAAAATTAAAAACTAAAACAAAATAATCAAATTAAAGCATAAAATAAAATAAGTTTCATACTTAATACAAAATTAAAAAATAATGCTCAACGTTAAGTACAAATCATGATGCGATATACGTAGCAATGTATGAGTATGCATGTATGTAAAGCAAGGGAACTATAAATTAGTATAAACTTCTTTGTATACTACGTTCAACGCTGACTTCGTTGGTTTCCCTTCTTCGTCACATATAACAAACTTTAATCCAGACGGACTTGTTACTCTCGAGACCGCCACGTACAATTGTCCATGCGTAAAAACAGGCCGACGGAGGAAGATGCCAACATTTTCCAATGACTGTCCCTGACTCTTATTAATGGTCATTGCATAGCTAACCATTAATGGAAATTGCCTACGCTGAAAAGTGAACGGGAGACTAATGTCCGACGGTGTCAAAGTAAGGCGGGGAATAAGAAACTTCTCACCGGCATTTTCTCCGTGCATCATCTGAGCCTCAATAATATGAGCTCCAAGTTTAGTGACCACAAGCCGTGTGCCATTGCACAATCCAGATGAATGATCTATATTCCTCATAAGCATCACAGGAACTCCAACTTTCAGCTTCAGCTCATGACTCGGCAAGCCAGAGCATTTGATACTATTAAGAAATTCAGGAGAATGTATCTCGTGCAAGAGATCATTACTATTCGAGTCAGATGAAGAAGCTGAATCTGAGCTAAGGTATGTCTTTAACTCTGAATCAATCTTGCTCAACATGTAATCGTTGACCTTATCAACCTCATCTATGGTCGGAGCAAGAATAGCCCTGGAATTAAGATAATTAATCGGATCACTCTGGGTTAAGAAATCAGGATAAATAGCTTGAACTATAGATTCAACGGGATCAGACATCATTGGAGCGATCATATCGTCTGGTATATCAATGAGTGATTCTCCATCTTCATTTTCAGCAAAAGCCCCGTCACCAATCTTCAAAATCCACTCCGCAAAAGATTGGATAGTTGGTCCATCCGGCTGGCCGAGCATCCTCGCGAGCCTCATGTTTTTAGTAAGCCTCACTACAGTACAATGTGACCACAGGAATGAACTGTTCAGTGCAGCGTGCACAATATCCTGTCTTGTGCCTTTTGTTATCACAGGAAGAATCTGTCTAAAGTCACCACCAAATACAATCGTCTTCCCACCAAAAGGCAAGGTAGCGTCACAATGGATGGAGTAACGAAGCACGTCTCTCATACTCCGGTCAAGAGCTTCGAAACAGTGTCGATGCATCATCGGTGCCTCATCCCATATAATCAACTTTGATAACTCTATCAGCTTAGCCAACAACTACCATGTTTTATGTTGCACGTGGAGTCTTCTACAATACTAAGTGGAATCGCAAACCTCGAATGTGCGGTCCTTCCTCCAGGCAACAGAAGCGATGCTATACCACTTGAAGCAACATTAAGAACTATATCACCGCGAGATCTAACAGCTGCAGACAAAGTCCTCCATAGATATGTTTTCCCAGTTCCTCCATGACCATATAAAAAGTAGAATTTCCCGTTTCTACGATCTACAGATTCCATTATTCTGTCATACACAACACGTTGTTCATCTGTCATCTCGGCCAATAACTTTGCATGCTCCTCCATCAAATACGATTTATCATACCGCAGCTCTTCATGAATGAGAACTTCTTCAAGCGAGGGCATTTCATCATCAGGTAGCAAGGGTATGCCAGCAAAATCACGTAGTGATCTACCTCTTGACTGCAAGAGCTTCTGAATCTCCAACAAACAATACTTTTCAATTTTCTCTTGATCTAGTTCAAAATCTGCAGTAGCGCATTTAAATATTTTATTAGGTTAGTTAAGATTAAACTAATAAATAAAATATTCCACAATATATAATGTTCATCACGACGAAATTAAACATACACTACTTTTAACTTTAATTAACATCTAAATAAAGAAAACATGTTTACTAATTCAGTATTTAAATATTGTATCTTTTATTGAATTCATCACTCAACATGAAAAGATCCATAATGTTTTTGTATTTTTTAAGTGAAAATGTAGATAAAAAAATAAGTAATAATAAAAGTGCTATTATTTGTATTAATTGATAGACCTTTAATTATTTGTTAACTTTTTTTGGATTTTTTCAATCAATTTAGTAAATGTAATATATAAGTTCACTATAAGTATATTTTTTACACTATCATTACAAAATATCCAAAAGCCATATCTAACATAGTAAATAGTACTCCGGTAGTAAACTACGTTAATATACATATATGTTACATAGTAACGTAGTATAAGCTATCGTTCATATTCTCTAAATAAATATTTTGTATAAATGATTTTAATAAGGGAATAAACTACTAACATTTAGTATATTCAAAAAAACATTTTTATGGTGATCTTTCACACACACACACACATGTGTGTATGAGTAATGATCACCTCAGGTAGTTGTGACGTTAGACATCATTCGAACTTTCCTATCACAGGTACTTTCCGGTTAATTTTTTTTAATGAAATTCTGTAAGCATGTTCATAATCAAATCTAGTTTATCACCACCAAATTTTAGCTTGAAATTCAATAAAGAAGGTAGTTAAATAAATATTTAAAAACTTTTGCGGCAAATTGTACACGAAAAACGCAGTCATTTTCCATAATTTATTTAACTAACTTCCTGATTTAATCTAAAGCTAAAATTTTGTGGAGATAACTTACACTTACTGAGGAACATGTTCATAAAATTTCATAAAAAATCCACCGATAAGCACCCCTGATAGTCAAGTTTGGACAGGTCTTCTTGTCAAAACTACTTAAGGGGATCTTTTTCCTATATATAATAATATACTCACGTGTAATATTTTTTATCTCACTTAATATGTCATTAGCTATGTATGTAAGACAATCAGTTAAGTATTTCATGGAGAAGTCTTTATTGTAGAACTAAAATGCATAAATTTGTATAAGCGAGTAATCAAGTGAAATATTAAGAAATGGTTTAGACTATAATATACCTGGATTACCCGTATTCTTGCGAATGTTGTATAGTATGTCATCAGAGAAAAACTCCCAACACTTTTGCCACACTAAACCTGGCTTAGAAAACTCATTTGAAACCAGTAGAGTAGCAAATACAATGCGGAGCGACCGTGAAGATGACCAGAAACTTGCATCTGTAATGCCGTCAATATACTCCTTGTCATCTTTAAGCAAACCACGTGCATGGCACGCGTCTCTAAATGTAGGATATACGATCCCTTCATAAGTCCTCAAGTCCTCAAAGCTGGTTGCTCCCTTCACAATATTCAACAGTATCCGTAGATAGTACTTCTCACCTGCTCCAGGGCGTACGTAATAAATGCGTCCAATAGCAAATCCTCTCTTTCTTTCTACCCGGCCCGAGTCCAGCACTATTCGTATATTGCGCTTTAAAATATGTATACTTTAGAAGTTCATACTGCATCTTACTGCTATGGCATATGCATTTTAGTAGTTCATAAGTTGCATTTTATCATTATGATATGTGCCTTTCAGAAGTTCATACACTACATTTTAGTAAGATGACATGTGCATTTTAGAAATTCATACATTGCATTTTAGTAAGATGACGTGTGCATTGTAGAAGTTCATATGTTGCATCTTATCGTTGATATCTGCATTGTATAGTAAACTCACATGCGTATGTGATTCATGATGTCCCAAGAGACATAATATATAAGAAACATGTTATAAATAGTAAAAAAATCAATCACTTCAGAATTATAATGTCTGCATATTAGTTGTTCATATGATGCACTTTTAGTCACATGATATGATCATGATCTATATAATGGTTGTCATATTGAGTCAATTAATTTATTATGTTGCACTTTGGAAGTTCATCTTGTAACACCCCGGCCCCACCGGACCCGAGGTAGTTACTCCGGACCAATAGTACTGTCCCCACAAACCACCACGAGCCTTTACCGCGCACTTTGTCCTCACTCATGCGCGCCCTGAGAAACTTCCCAGGGGGGTCACCCATCCCAAGACTACTCCCGAGCAAGCACGCTTAACTTTGGAGTTCTTAGGTAATGAGCTCCCTTAAAAGGAGATGCACCTCTGTTGGTATGAGTAGTACTATTAATCCATTTATATTAAATCTCAAGTGTTACAATCACCCCCACTTAGGATCGCAACGTCCTCGTTGCGCCCTTAAACTAATCTCAATCAAACTCCAGAATCTTTTCCCGTGCTAAGTGCCTGCCCGATATCCAACGGATCAGCACACTGTCGCAGGGTTGCTCTGATACCACCTGTAACACCCCGGCCCCACCGGACCCGAGGTAGTTACTCCGGACCAATAGTACTGTCCCCACAAACCACCACGAGCCTTTACCGCGCACTTTGTCCTCACTCATGCGCGCCCTGAGAAACTTCCCAGGGGGGTCACCCATCCCAAGACTACTCCCGAGCAAGCACGCTTAACTTTGGAGTTCTTAGGTAATGAGCTCCCTTAAAAGGAGATGCACCTCTGTTGGTATGAGTAGTACTATTAATCCATTTATATTAAATCTCAAGTGTTACACATCTGTTGCATATTATCATTACAACATGTGCATTCATTCAATAACCATTTTCGAAGTTCATATGTTGCATTATGTCATTATCACACGTGCATTTTTAGAAATTCATGTGTTATCGTTACGACATCTGCATTTTAAACTCAATTTTCATGCATATGAAAATAATGAAGTTTAGATTCCCAGATGAATAATGTATGATAAAAAATATTCTAAATCACAAAAGTACTATTATATTTTACTTACTAAAGCTATAAGAATTTCACATAAACATGAAATTGTGTGAATTGATATATAACCAACAATCATTTCATAAACGTCAAAATGCTCAAAGTATTTTCAGCGTGGACACTAGACTCCATGGTGACAGAAATGACTACCTCATCATTCAAAAATACTCATACGCAGAGCAGTCATGTGAGAAGGAGATAATCATGTGAAGAGTTTTAAAAAACAGAGTTCACTAAAATCACAAGAACTTTGCATAAACAAAAAATTGTTGAATTGATATGAAAACCAAAACCAAATAAAAAAACAAAAGTAAAAAGTCCGGCATGCACATTGGATTCCATGGCGATGCCGGAATCCATGGCGTTCAAGAACTATTGTTCCGTCTTGTGCGTACCCGAATCCATATCATTCAAATAAAAGAACACTAATAAGATTATATTCTATTAAATTTGAGATGGAGATTGAGATAAAGATGAAGATGGAGATGGGGATTGAGATGGAGATGAAGACGGAGATCGACAGGCTTTGATATGGCTGAACTTGGTAGAAGAAAAGGAATGAACACTACTACAAAAGGGACATTTCACGTCGGTTATTTGTACCCTTGTAACGACCGTTCCCAAAACGGCCATTACGATACTCAAACAATAAAGATGCTCGATAAATCAAGCGGAAATAAAGATACAAAGCCTTGAGTTGAGACTCTATTTCTTTTAAAACATAATAATAAAAACATACAACAATAACGAAAGACATCCAAAAGAAAACACCTTTAAAACTCTTACACCTGATCAGGATTTTAAAACATTTAACATCCCTTTGAAGTACAAATGTATTAAAACAAAATATAACTCACAGCCAGATCTTCTCCGTTAACCCGTCCAAAACCTTGTCCCTGGCTCCATACATTCTCTCAGGTTTCCGTACTCCATTTATTACCTATACATGAGAACATAAGAGAATAGAATTCTCATAAGCAATAATGCTTAGTAAGTCACCATTTTGTCCACTAAAAAACATTTAGGGAATCTTAGCTAATCGTAAATAGATACCCACGCTGAATACATCACACATATACTATAATCACAAATGATAACAACACATAAGCATTCGTGTATCAAACACCAAGAGATTTCTTTATTCATCATTCTTTCTTCTTATCTTATTCCTTGACTTTATGGGCCGTAGCTCGTGTCCTGGCCCCTCCCTGATGACTTCGGGTAGCTAGCCCTCAGCCATCAGAAGAAACCCCGGGACTCCCCACGAAAGTCATTACTTGGGGGCACGGCTACCTTGTAACATTACTTGTCTTTCATTACTTTCATTATCATCTTCATTTCCTTTCTTGTTGATTCCATATGAATCCAACTCAAACTTAAACATAGAACTTGAAATTCACATATATCATGTCATACACTTTCAAGTGTTCAAACGCATATATCATATTCACAATATTCCATAACTTCACCATTAACACCACCTGTCAATAGGTACATATGACTTGGAATTCACCTATCTCATGCCATACGGTTTCAAGTATCCAAGCACATATATCATATTCACAATTAGCTAATCTTCCATACTTTATTTAAAACTATCATGTATAGGTGGTGGTGACTTACCTATTAACAGCTGAACTCAAAATACCCAATTAAGTGTGACACCTTCATAACATCTTCCGATAAGGTCTTCTTGATATTCTTTAATTGCCACTACAAGAAAAGTGCACATAGACTGCACATGGACCACAATTTTTTTTTGCGATGGCAGCATAACTGTCGTTAAAAACACCATTAACCACACATTTTTTTATTTACCACGCACAAAACTGTGGTAAAAGCTTAGAGCCGACAGTTTTTAACCGTGGCCAATGTTTTTACCACAGCTGTTGTGCCAACGCACGTAAAACTGTCGCAAAACTGTCGTAAAAACATAAGGAGGGTCATTTACGACAGTTTTGCGTCAGTTTTGCGTGCGTCGCCACAACAGCCGTGGTAAATACATTGGCCACGGTTAAAAACTGTCGCCTCTAACCTTTTACCACAGTTTTGTGTGTGGTAAACAAAAAAAAGTGTGGTTAATGGGGTTTTTAACGACAGTTATGCGGCCATCGCAAAAAAAAATTTGGTCTAAGTGTGGTCTATGTTCACTTTTCTTGTAGTGTGCATGTAATAATATAAAATAAGAATTTGGCATATTTTAAAACAAAATCATACGGCTGAAACTTATCTCAATCTTTTGAAACATACCAACATGAGAGACTACTTAGTGGATCATCAATACGGAAAAACATCAATTACACTTGGAATCAATTAATATCTAATCATTTTTCTACCAAAGCTATGTATAATTTGGAGTTTAGTGTTGGAATGAAACTGGTCACTACATTTCTATTCCTCCTGCTGCGTACCAGAGAGAAAACATGTGCTCACACACGTAAGTTTTGAACGTGGGTGACCAAACCAACCACAAATCAAGGATTTAAAATTGGAATGTATTCAATTAAGTTTTAGAACGCAGCAATAGGCAATAAGAAAATCCTGATTTTGAAATTTAACTCCTTGCGAGAAATAAACTGAGGTCTCTAAAGAGAGCATGATACTGGAAGTTTTATAGATTAATGTTGGTCTCAAATTTAAAACCCCAAAATCTAGGAGATACTATGAGACCTAAACATTAACTAGAATCGGTCCACTGTTCGGCCATTATATAAAAATAATGAAGGTAACGAATCAGACTACAAGACTAAAAGACCTTCGATGAAGAAGCCGGCTGATTAACTTTTCCAAGGAAGATGGATGCGAACTATCAGAGGCGAGTATTCGGCTCTTGGGAAAGAAAGAGGCGTAGGTTTTCTGGGGATTTAGTTTAAAGAGACTTATATGGGCCCGGATTAATTAAAGAGACTTATATGGGCCCAGATTAATTTGGGCTCCTAATATATTCTTTAAAAACAATGCTTTTGCCCGAGCTTAATATAATACGTAGTAGTAATATTCTCTATTTCAAGATAAACTTATTAAACTTTACAACAATATTTACTTATTTACTTGAAATTCATGGAGCTTACCGGTCAACGTTATCTGCCATAAACAAAAATGATAACACAATAATCACATTATTCACAAAAGAAAAATATTTAACTGACTGAAATAATAATGACTGATAAAACTTGCTCACAAAATCGGGGTGTTACAACCCTTTCACGTCGGTTTTTCAAGTGACGAGAAAAGTGGGGACGTAATAGGCCCATACATTTCACGTCGGTTCTATAACCGACGTAAAAACTAATTTTTTAATATATAAAAAACATTTTACGTCAGTTTACAACGGAAACCGACGTAATAAGTTATCTTTATATTTAAATAAAAATGCCTTCCACGTCTGTTTTCCATGAAAACCGACGTTACCATATTAAAAATATGCAATAACGTCAGTTGTGGGAATAACCGACGTTAAATCCATTATTTAAAAAAAATACTGCAGCGCCTATTATAAATTTAATCATATAGTAATTATTCGTGTTTACAAATACACATTCTAAAAGGTGTAAATTACAAAAATGCATTAACTTCTACATTGTAGAGTTCCATCTGTCCCTATGTAAGGAATGGTCTATGCAACTCCTTGTACTCAACTCTGGAGCCAACTGATGTTTAGAGCAGATGAAGTAACTCCAGTCCACATCAAGTAGAATGGGTATACATACTATTGTCGATTCAACCATCCGTAAAAAGGCAAATTAAATTAGATGACATGGTTCAGTGAGATGTTTGATTGAAGCAAGAATGTACCAAACATATACGAAGTATAAAGTTAAAACCTTATTTATGTTCTCTAGAAAAAGTGAATATCTTGTTTCACAATTAACATCACCATCTGGATGTCCACCT